AACATCAAGCACTGTTCACGTTCTATTGAAAAACAAGTACGCATAATTTCTTCTTCTACAGAACTTTTTTTCTATATTACAAAGCTATTCATATTGAAACATAGTCCTGGTTACATACTCAATGACTGGTACAAATAAAAAAAATTGATCAAAAACAAAACGTTGGTCACAATCATCAGTAATTATTACGATTCAGGTTAATTCCTTTCATACGACCTCAAATACTTTGCCGTCGTTCACAATGCATTTGGATGATTCGAGATAACGAAAATGCTTTCTTCATGATGTTAATCACTAACTAAGGCACTAGAAAAAGCATATCGAATTCGATTTCTTCCCAAAATGCCTTCAACTCTGTTTTATCGCTCCATTGCGAAAATCGCCTCCAAATCGAATCATTCAAAAACCTCACAACTCCCTTACAGAAAACCGATTACAAAATACAAGTCATATGATGTGATAGTAATCAAATTCAAAAAAGAGGTTATCATTTCAATGAAAGTGAATAGTTACAACAATAACAAAGATAATAATGACAATATCAGTATAATTGATCATATTAGTAATACAAACAGAAAAAAGGATTTCAATGTACTGTAGAAACATTGCATTATCCACCTGCCGTTTGCTTATTTCCTGGTTGTGTCCCTCGAACGAATTCATCTGATATTTTATGATCAACCAACAGTGCATCATCCTCATTCAAGTCCCTGAAATCAATCAACTCACTATTTTCTCTCCTACGAAATTCCATTAAAACTTCAAGTTCACTAAAACTTATGAAGAATCAAGCTCATATAATAATACTTCCAATCCTAGAATGACTGATATTATCGGCAAAAGATTTTCCTAAAAATATTCACGTTCAGCACTTACATCACCAAGAGCAAGTTTTCTTCAGACAACTATTTTTATGATAGCTATCAACATTATTGGTAACTTTCATAACAAAGCTATCATTTATGATAGCTTTTGTAATAACTCGAAACCGGACAATTACACCAGAAACGTACCGAAATGATTTACCGGGTTTATGTCCATGCACTCGAAACCTGTACAGGCACGTGTAATCAGCACCCCAGTTCGACAGTACCACCAGTTCAAGTATTGGCGTTACGATTGGTGGTTCATGCTGGAACACATAACACAAATAACTTATCTTGCTGCTATCATTAGATGTCTTCAACGGATCTCTCACTAACAAAACAATAATAAAACATCACATAAAATGGACTATAAAAAAGCCATGCAACTGAAATTTGCACTAAATTTTCAACTCACTTCAACTTTGAAGAACTGCAATGCGTCTCCGTTGTGATCAAATTGATATTCGCCAAGTAAAACTTTTGAGTCGAAATCATTCAACGCTTGGAATGCCTTCAAATCAACACTTCATTAGAGCAAGTAAAAAGCTTTCAGCCAATACGAATCAATTACAAAAATGATAACCACATCAATGATAATGATGATAATCGCAATAATATTAACAATAATAACACTAGTAATAAACGAGATGAATCGATCACCTACCCATATTTGGAATTGTTTCGGTGCACTTCGCATCACGCCATCAGGATGAAGTTCATGCCTCAAATGCTCATAACTGACTTCAGTCACATGAATCGGTGTTGACAACTTGATTGTCAGATAACCTTTGCCTCGGAACGCCCAACATTCACCCGATGATAGGGCATTTGCACGATGCTGAATATCAAACTAGTGCTTACTTAAGGCATTCTTGCTGACAATAACAGTAAAACAAATATCATAATAAGATATTATACTGTTGACAATGATCATATCGATGAAACAATCAGTTGACAACACTCGAACAATTCCTAAGACCTTGATGAATATGAAGAGCACTATCAATGTGCTTCTTCTCACAAACCATAAATATATTCGTTAAAATAATCCATCAAAAGAAAAAGTAAGAAACCTGAATAACGGATCGCGGTGAATAAGATGAATACCAGAGTGGAATACCAAAAATAGACTCTAAACGTGATGTTTCTTTGTAGGTTTCTGTACAACGCGTACTTATTATCGAGCCACCTGAACGCAACACTCAA